TGCAGTGCTCTCCACTCTGTCTCAAAGGCTTTCCACTTAGCGTGGTCCACCTCCCTGAATAAATTCGGGTGCGTCCCGTCGACGAACCTTCTCCTCTTCGCCTCCGCGATAAAGGGAGAAAGAACGTACCGTGATGGCACCCTTGGCCTCTTGCCGACCACCCGCTTTATCACGTCAACAGCCATTGTCCTCTCCTCATGCGTCTCGGTAATCTCCATCTCCCCAGCCATCGGGACGACCCCCTCGCCCGCTATCGGGACCACCTCCTCCGACACAAAGACCACGTCCGTCGAGTCTGGCGTCTTCTCGGGTACCACCTCTACCTCTGGTACCCTCTCCTCCTCCGGTGCCCCCTCGACATCCCCGAGTATCCCGTGCATGGGTACCACCTCCACCTCCAGTACTCTATCCTCCTCCGGTGCCCCCTCGGCATCCCCAGGTATCCCCTGCACGGGTACCACCTCCACCTCCACTTCCAATACCCCCTCGACGTCCTCAGGTATCCTCTGTATGGGTAACCCCACCTCCTTGGGTATCCCCTCTGCATCGAACGACGTCATCTCGGGTACCACCTCCACCTCCACCTTCATCTCCGGTATCCTCTCCTCCTCGAGTACCCCCTCCACGTCCTCAGGTATATCCTGCACGGGCACCCTCTCCACCATAGGTATCCTCTCTTGCGTACTCTATCCTCCTCCGGTGCCCCCTCGGCATCCCCAGGTATCCCCTGCACGGGTACCACCTCCACCTCCACTTCCGATACCCCCTCGACGTCCTCAGGTATCCTCTGTATGGGTAACCCCACCTCCTTCGGTATCCCCTCTGCATCGAACGACGTCATCTCGGGTACCACCTCCACCTCCACCTTCATCTCCGGTACCCTCTCCTCCCCGAGTACCCCCTCCACGTCCTCAGGTATATCCTGCACGGGCACCCTCTCCACCATAGGTATCCTCTCTTGCTCCTCCATCCCCATCGTGTCATTTAAAAATGAATCAAATGCAACAACTGATGGCCACGATGAGTCAACATACCCCATCTAACCCCCCTGATAACCACCGATCCTCCGTCACCCCCTCCGTCCCGATAGTGACCTGTCCCTCCGCTACCTCCTCCATCTTGATAATCGCTCGTTCCACGCAGGCCTGCTATGTCACCCCGTATCGCTGCAACCTCAGCATGAAGGTCTCCTAACCTAGCTCATAACATCACGACATCATATTGTAACTGTGCCATGTCCCCGAACTCAGCTTGTAGTGTCACGACATTATCCCGTAACTCTGCCTGTCTCCTCTCATCTCCATCAGGAGTTCGAACAAATCAATCATCGAAGCATGGGGACTAGGTGCAGGAGGTGATACTGGACGGCTCTCCTGAAAAAATAACTATTACAAATGAATAACCTAACAAATAAAATAAAACGACAATCGAAGAATTATTTTTAAGTAACATACTCTATCTCGATCAACGCTGGACTCAGGCATCTGAACCTCTGGCGTAACTGGACGTGATCTTCTCAGCGGAGGTGACATCCTCGCTGGACGTGCTCTCCTCGGTGGAGGTGATATCCTCAACGGAGGTAGTACTGAACGATCCTCCTGAAAAAATAAATATTACAAGTGAAGCACTTAATTACAAGATCAAAGCGATATTCAACAAATCCTGCACAGTGACATACCCTATCTCGATCCATCCTGGACTCAGGCATCTGATCGTCATGCACAGTACGAAGAGGCAATTCGCGAATATAAAACTAACTCTCCTCCTTGATCGACAGTGCCAATTCAGTGAAAACTTCAAGCTGTCATTTTGATATGTCACAGTTAATGATTATGTATTTAGATTGTAAAAGGACGTACAACATAAATAGCAATTGTCTGGCAAGCGGCTTGTCTTGTGCTCGCCAATGATGCATCCGAGGATAGCGTGTCTCTCCTCTCCTCGCATACCGACTGGCCAAGATGGGGACAGTCTCATACGCCCATATCTGAAACAATTACAATTATTAT